CCCCAAAACCCCAAAACCCCATGTATATAGAAATATTATGCTATAGGTAATTACTGCATATTACATTATCTAATAATTAAAAAAAATAAAATTGCTTAGCTTACTACAAAATTATTAATTAGGATAATCGAATGACAAATCAAAGTGAGAATAACGCCAGTATTTTCAATTAATTGAGAATATGCAGTTTGACTTTAACAGGAGCACTAGGCTGTAATGATATCAGACTATCTCATCTATTTAGGTCTTATTGCTGGTTATGGAGGTGGTATTGTTGCAGGTACAGGACTCTATATCCATGAGATTTTTCCTGAGATAACTATACATGACAAATAAGTAATTTTTAATAAACGTCATTAGTTTTAGAGGTTTGTCAGTCTAGCTATTATTTCTGCTTCTATCATGGCATTTTTCTCAGGTTAAATTGCAAATAAACTAGGAAGGAAAATGTCTATAATCATTGCAGATATGTTCTTTGTGATTGGAAATTTGACCATAGCCTTAGCCCCCACAATTAACTTCTTGATCATCGGTAGATTCATTGTTGGGTTTGGATTAGGACTAGGTACTACTATTTCATTGGTGTATGTGGCTGAATGTAGTCCCAATAAACTCAGGGGCACAATGCTGTCCTTCTCTGTACTATGTGTATTTGCAGGGAATATGCTTTCATATACATCATGTATTTTACTTGGTTTTGATCATTTCTTGATCTTTACCTTTATCTTAATACCTACAATTGCACAGCTGATACTTATTACATTTTTCCAAAGCGATACCCCAATATTTTATGTCATGATGAACAAGAAGGATCTTGCAGAAAAAGCCATAAAAACCTACTATAACAATAGTAAAGAAGGTCAAGAGGTAAAAAATCATTATTTATTAAAGAAAATAGGAATTTTAAAGACACTTCTAGTAAATATGCTAGCAAACACAATCGAATGTATAATAGGAAAGTCAAATTTAAATGTATAAGGAACTTTTCTCTGAATATAAGTGGAATCTATTCGTTGGATTAATGCTCAATATACTCCAGCAATTAAGTGGTGTGTCCTTGATTAATTACTATGGACCTAAAATCCTAAAGGATGCAGGATTTGCTAGTAATACTCGTGAGGGTTTGATGTGCAGTATGATATTCCTCATGGCATTTAATTTTACTGGTAATTTGGCATGCACGATATTTAGCAAGCGATTCGGCAGAAGATAGTTATTATTAGTTGTTGCCATTCCAATTACTATCTCTTTAATTTTACTAGATGCAATGATAATATCCAATGAAATTTTTGGAGAGAGTGAAAGTAATCTAATTATGTTTTGAAATATATAGTTGCAAAGTGGCTCAGTCTAGTAAGTTTAGCAAGTTACCTCTTATTTTTTTCTTTTGGGTTTGCCTCATAAGTTTTTACTATCTCAGCGGAGATTTACCCAGTAAAAAAGTCTATATTTATATTTTAGAATCATCTAAGGGGAACTGCAAATTCTCTGACAGGCACCTCTAACTGGTTAGGAAACTATTCACTTGCTGGTATATTCTTACAAATCACTCAAACTTAAACTGGAAAAATTTTTACTTACTCGCTATTGGCATTCAATTGTATGGTTATGTTTTTCTTTGTATGGAGATTTGTACCAGAGACTAAAGATAAGTCTATAGATGAGTGTGTAAAACTTATTCATCATTCGTGGAAATCAAAGGCAATTAGAGATAAAATAAACTAAAAAGAAGGGGGCTTATTAGATAATTAAGATCACATTTAACTTATTTAAACTTATGATTAAGAGAAGCTATTGAATGAAAACCTTGAAATCAATGAAGTAAACTCTGGGAATAGACACTCTGATAGTAAAAAAGTTTGAAAGTAATAACGATAAGTTATAAATAATAATCATCAAATCAATTTAATTCAGTTTATTTAAAAATGTTTAACTTCCTTCTTATAAATTGACAATTAATACTCTTGGGGTTTTGGGGTTTTGGGG